GGCATCTTAATAATAAGAGAGAGAGAGAGAGAGAGAGAGAGAGAGAGAGAGAGAGAGCGCGCGCGCTACAGGTAACTAATTACAATTTGCAAAGCAACTTGTTCTGCATGACAATGCTTTGCTGACGTGCATGCAAATACAACCAGCTAAAGCTGTTGTGGATTTATCCACACCGAGGCAACTTTGCCTGATATCTCTAGGAAAGATACAAGTTTATGCAAAAAAGATTCTTATTTAATCCTTATTTATATGTCTTGTAAATGTTAATGTATTGAAAATAAATTTTATATTAATGTGAGAAGTGATTTTATTGTTGAGATACTTTTATATATGTTGCCATTAATTTTATCATGAAACCTTAATTACTTCAAATTTGCTCCAGCGAGTAAATTAAGTTGAACTTCGTAAAAAGTAAAATTTTAAACTACGTTTGTTCTTATCCTTTGGCCCAGGTTTACATTAATTTAAACTATCAATTGAAGAACTTTTCGGCCAATAAAAATGTGTTTGTATTATACAGTTTTTGTATACAATACAGATTGGAGATTTTATTTATTTTTTATTTTTTATTTTCTGAAGAAAAGATATTACTTATATACTAAAAGGAAGGAATGATGAGCTCAATCTCACAATTAACTAACCATAAGAATTCATGTATATAAAAAGCGACAAAGTCACGTATTGACCTGAAGTAGTTGTAGTAGTCTGTGTCTCCAACAACTTCGTTAATATCTAGTGGTCTCCCGAGATAGTATAGCTTCGTTACTTCTAACAGCATTACCATACGATTTTGGCCTTCTACAAATCAAAGAACTTAAGCGAAGAAAACCTATCTGCCGGTCCATATTGTACTCCATAATAAATGGTGATTAGCGTGCAAAATGTTGGAAGTGAGAAACTGGCCAAACTCAACTTCAATTCCATGCATATCTTATTCGAAGCGGTTTGGCTATTAAGATTTTCAATGCTACTTTAGAGTATTGTATATCTCAGAACATCGCAAATAGTTTTTATTGGTGATTTTATTGAAAACTAAATATGTTGATATGGGCTTGGCATAATTCTTGACAAGAAAAATGGCTTAGCAACTGAACAAACATATATACAACGACACATGCAAAACATCGTTGTTCACGTGATTTAAACTTGCAGTTGAAAACTTGCGTTTGAATTTCTTTTTCCTAATATCGCTTTCCAAATAACATAAGAACGTTACAACATAAACATGCATGCATTGCATAACTCACAGATACCTGTGAATCATAGCTACGTGCCAAATTATTAAGGTTTAACAAGTTCATCACAACCGTCGAACGTCACCCTTACATGAATCCATAACCAAGAGGGTGCCAAACTTCAAGGGTCAAGGTACGAGTACGCAAGGAGAAATTTTTAATTGTCACAGGAACACAAGTAGTACATTACGTGTTTTAATAGAATTGGTGAGAAATTTCATTTTTTAACTTATTAACTTTTTAGTACACATATCTCATAATTTATACAATGACACATGATGTACCACCTCATGTATCGATCACAATGAAAAATCTAGTGCAGTTGGTAGAGGGGTCCAAACTTCAAGGGTATACCAGTTCTCAACAAGTGCAGTTACTACTGAAACTTATCCTCTTCGGCAATTTGGGTGCATTAGGCTGCATCTGTTAACTAAAATTCTATAAAATTACCTGCCTATTCTCTATCAGTCTCTTCCTCTCTCCTTCTATTTCAAAAATAAAAATAAAAATTTTACTCACATACTTTGTGTGTGCCTATATGCTAGTAATATAAAAAAAAAAAACAACTTATAAGTTTATTATTTTACATGTATATTCACAAAAAATAAAAATAATAATAATTAAAACAAGCATAACCTAAAAAAAAGAAAAGAAAAAAAATTAATAATATATTATCTTTACTAATTAATAAAACACTCATTGTCAATCAAAATCCTATGAAATTATCAGTTTAACCATCTAATTAAACAAAACATGAATAAGAAATATGAGCAGAAATATACACACAGCCAAATTTTGCTTTTTTTTTTCTTTTCAAAACCTCACCTACATGTAATCATAATATATCTCTAATTAAATTTAAAAAAACAAAAAAAAAAAGAACTTCCCACTCCCACATTCTTTATCACTCTCTTCCTATCTCCTTCTATTTCAAAAAAAAAAAAAAAAAGAAAAAGAAAAAAAAAAAGGCAATATGGTTGTGACGAAAAATTAGTAACTAATGAAACAAATTGATTTCGAAGTCCATGACTATTCAAATTAAAGAAGATATGTTGTTCACTACTACGATCTGATGATATTCCTTTTCACTTGAAGGTTAGAAATCTTAGGTTCGATTCTCATGAATGAAGAAGTCGACACCAAATTAGACTGTTCTTTGTGTGGCTTAGCCGAATGGAAAAATATCGATGTATTGATAGGAGCATATTTATGCGCCTTAGTTAGCTAGTTCTTATGCATTTTTGTTATGTTTTCTTCGTTAAAGTAGTCTTTTAAGCTACGTTCATGTGTTTTCAGGTTTAAAGGACATATTACATGAAATGATGCAATTTGGAGCAAAACTGAGCTGGAATGTGGTGTATGCAAATAGAGCAAGAGGAATGGACGTCCAAAACAATGCATCACACAATCTTCCTCCTAAGCCGTGCATCCCACCATTCCTATCTATCATCCATAAACCCTAATTCCCTTTAATCCATAGCCTTCCATTTAATCCACCCATTGATCTATGAAACCATCTCATCCATTCATCCTATTAACCCTAGTTAAACATTTAATCCACCCATTGATAATTCCCACCTACATCCGCAAATCCCATTCATTCTCCATTTTCTTATTCTCCATTATCTCCTAATTCCTCCATAATTCTAATCAAACCGTGCATTACCTCCACCATGCCTTTTTTCTAATCTAATATCCCCCCACCATTCCACCTACACCACTATATCCCATTCACAAACCGTCCACTTCCCATTTTTAAATCCACCACTTCTCATTTTCCTTCCATATTGCCGTGCCATATCCCACTAATTATCCATTAAACCATTATTCTTTGCAGCACATTCAACCTATTATTCCATCCGTAGCACCATCACCCACCATTCTAATTATTATATACACCATTCCACCCACACCACTTCCCATTATCCTATTCCATCCGTGCATTACATCCACTATCCCATTTTACATACAATATATCCCATTATTCATTGAAACCCGTGGAGCATTCTCACATTCTTTTCCCTCCGTAGCCAATATAACCTAATTCATTAACAATTCTAATTCCCCATCATCCGTGCTAGACTAATAAACCATATTCCCCCCATCATCCGTGCTAGACTAATAAACCATATTCCCCCCATCATCCGTGCAACACCATCCCATATTTTCCAATCTGTCCGCAGAAATTCCCCCCATTGCAGCCATCATACCAACCTTCCTCCATCACCTTACACACCTTCCTACACCACCAATCCTCCCTAAATCCATCCCCAACCCAAAATAACATCCAAATCATCCATTTAACCAATCTGCCGCAGAAGGAGAAGAGGAAAGAGGAGCTTCGACGCGCACCAATTCACGTGGATTCGTTGGGCGTTCTAGGTGTAATCAATCCTTTGTGCTTTATGTTTAAATTCAATTTTATTTTTCTTGTTGCGAACATGAGAGGCTAAATCCCCCTAGTTAGCTAGGGGGTGATTCGAAACCATGGTTATACTTGCAATATGAATTGATTACTTTTGGTTGGGATTTCATGAATGTTGGATTCAATTTGTTTAACCGTTTGATTGATAACTTATTTATGAATGTTTATTAAGAATGCGCGCTTAATTTTCATGCATAAATATGACGCTAGAATATAAGTGAATTTCACCTAATCGTTATGAACTTATATTCACAAGTAGTGGAGGTTGCTTATAAACAATCGCGTTAAATGAATTCTTGGCACGAGTATCATGCTTTTCATAGTTACAAATGCCTTGTCGATGCTTATAATTTCCAAAGAACGTAATGATTCTAACTTGTATCTTTATCATGCTGTTCATATAGAGAACTTGTTAGGAATAATTTGTTTGCGATGCATATTCATCCAATTCAATGATTCTAGGGAAATTTGAAGGTTAATTTAAGCGGACCTAATTAACTTGGAGTGTCGAGTTCCATAATTTATCGAAAGACCAACTGAGAATCAATTTTGTATGCAAGTATAACATGTGTGGAGATGAACCCCTTGGCTATTCCATCATCCATATTTTCATCTCATTCATATTTACGTTTTGCCTTTAATTACAATTTGTCCATTTAATTTAATATCGTCCAAACACAATCCCCCCTTTACTTTATTGTCAAATTAGTTAGAAATCAATTTAGTTTGTGTTTTTAAAGAATTTTGAGTCTTTTGGTTTGTCTTAATGTTTTAACGTTTAGTTTCACATTCTTTGAGTCTAGTTTAGTGTTTTATATTGTTTTTACGTTTTTGAGTCAAAAATCCAAGTGATTAACAATCCCTCCTAATCCCCGGTCCAGAACGATCCCTACTTATACTTATACTACAATTGACAAAAAGAGGGTTTAATTTGTGTGCGTATAAATATCGCATCATGTATTTAAAAAAAAAATTAAAGAAGGTATACATATATATATGACACCACATTTTTTTACAACTTGCACACATTTTAGGAGACCCACTTTCATGTATTTTACGATCGAACTATTAATTTTCTAGAATATTATTTATAGATCATCTTTGTAAGATTTAGAGAAAATCCAAAACCATTAAAATATTTATTTGAAGTCAAGAAAATAGATAAATATAGTTCTACAAATAAACTTTAAATCCTTAATTCAACATTGATAACCTTTGTAAGATTAGAGAAGATTCAAAACTATTAAAATATTTCTTTGAAATAAAAAATATATAAATATAATTCTACGAAAAACCCTTAAAACACTTAATTCAACTATTTAAAGATTTTGGATGCGAATGAGTTTTTACAAACATTTTAAAGTGGGCGTCAGACTCTTCAAATTCCTAGGGACCATAATTATAAACAATATAATAAAACTGTCTAAACCGAAACCCAACCCCTCCATAACTGGACACGTAACCACAAAACAGTGACACCCACCACTCTTGTATTTAAAAACTTGAAGAAAACCACCGAGGGACAGTCCTGCAAAAGTGGGAACCAGACATCTTCACCACTACTCAGTGCCCTCTCTCCGCCGCCATCAACCCACCTATTTCTTCTCTCCCGGCGATCCGCTTCTTTCGCACCGACCCTTTTCTCTCCTTTTCACATACATACAAACCCCATCACAGGCGACAACAAAAAGAAAAAAGAAACAACAAAAAAAACAGAGCAAGAAATATCAGAGGTTGAGAAAATTCGTTGTTTTTTTCGGGTTTTCTTCAATTCTCTATCAAACCCAGAAAACTGTATTCAAATTTTTTTTTTGTTTGTTAAAATATCGAAACCTCGGCTTTTGAGCGTTTTTGTGAGAAAAATACTGATGTTTTTCGTGGGGTTTGATCATTTTCTTCTGAGAGTCTGAAAGGTGGTAAGGTATAGTAGTTAATATTCAAAACTTGTAGTGGTTAAGTTTTTGTGGCTAATTTGATGTGTTTAGCTACGAAACTTTAATGGTTTCGGTTGTGTTACGATTTGTGTACGTTGTTTGTTAGATTAGAGTGTCGAGAGAGAGAGAGAGAGAGAGAGAGAGAGAGAGATGGAGCAGAAAGGCATATTGCTGTCGGCTTTGGGCGTGGGGATGGGAGTGGGAGTGGGGCTTGGGTTGGCTTCCGGGCAGACGATGAGCAAATGGACCGTAAACGACACGATGTCCAACGGCATTACGCCAGATAGGGTGGAGCAGGAGTTGCTACGACAGATCGTTGATGGAAGAGACAGTAAGGTCACGTTCGACCAATTCCCCTACTACCTCAGGTCACCACCATTCCTATATTCTTCAGTTATTTTCGATTATATCTTGTTTTCTATGATTCTTTGAAGGGTTTGGATCGCCAGTTAATAACGGCCTAGAAGTATTCCCCGCTATTTGAATAGCAAGTTCGATATCAGTTTATTATGGATGGTTCATGGTATGTATTTGCTTAGAATTGTATGCGAAGTGTTTGGATTGCCAATAGTGTAAATATATCATTATATCATTAAAAAAAATACAAAATTGAATATTTTTGCAAGTTTGTGATTTTTAGAAATTTGGTTTCAGTGACTAAAAAAAAAAAATTGATGAATATTGATTAAAGTTGGTGTATTTAGCATGATTTCAACCTATAAGGGATTCAAATTGGTCACAAAATTCGGATTATGACATGTGACATTGTACGATTCATGGACATGCATGCTTAGCGTGAGCACATAATTTGAGGACCAAACTTGATGCATATTTCTATGTTTTGTATGGTGTAGTGTTTTCTATATTTTAACACCTAGGTTGATGAATGAATTTACAGTGAACAGACGCGAGTTTTTGATAACGAGTGCTGCCTATGTGCATCTTAAGCGAGCTGAGGTTTCAAAGTACACTCGCAATCTATCTCCTGCAAGTCGGGCTATTCTGCTCTCAGGACCTGCTGGTTTGTGATCTGCAACATTTAGCATCATGTTTGTACTTACATGTACTATCATTACAATCACTCTTTTTTCTCTTTCTTCCCTCCATTTTTATCTTGAAGAACTTTACCAACAACAACTTGCCAAGGCTTTATCCCATTACTTCCAAGCGAAGTTGTTGCTCTTAGACTTGACGGATTTTTCTCTAAAGGTGAATGTGGGAGAAGTTTTATATAATATGGATATAAATATACACGTATGTGTCTGTCCGTGCTTTTTTCTTCCGCTAATGTTTATAACTACTCGGATTGTGCAGATTCAGAGCAAATATGGCAATACCAACAAAGCATCTGTAAGCTTTCTCTAAAGAATTTCCCGTATGTTCTGTGGAAGTTAATATACAATGTGCACTATTAAGTTCGCTGTTATGTTGTCGACAGAACATAGACTACATCCATAGCCATCCAAGAAAATTGATAAGATGCTGCAATTTTTCTTCCAATCCCTCTTGAGATCTTAGTTTGAAACGAGTTTTCTTCACATTATCATGCCCCAAATTTTCTTGACGTGGGTTTCATACAGCTATTCGTATACTTGTAAGTTGTTATCATATCTTCCGTAGTCTTTTAAAAGATCTACTTCAGAGGTGACACTTGAGCGGTTGTCTGGCCTGTTTGGATCATTTTCACTCTTTCCGCAAAGGGAGGAACCACCAAAAGGTATTGTTGAAAACTGTTCTTACAAATAGAGTATTGTATGGTTCTGCACCCTCGGGCACAGCCCTCACCAGGAAATCCGCTTTCAGGCACGTTGCGAAGGCAAAGCAGTGGTGTGGATCTTGGATCAAGGTATTGGGAGGGTTGTTAGAAAATGAGATTGATTGCTTAAGGGGTTGTTGGAAAATGATCGTATTTTAACAATACATTTATCCTGCACTGGCAGTGGGCTAGAAGGTTCTTGTAAGCCTTGCATGCTTCGTAGGAATGCTTCAGCTTCAGCTAATATCAGTAACCTTGCTTCGCAGAGCACTCCTGCAAATTCAGTTCCTTCTTATTACTGAAAAAAAATAATATTGCAAGATAGAGCTAGCTGTTAGTGCTTTACTTTTTATCTTTTATATGTTACAATCTATTTACAGTGCGCCTTCTAAAGCGTATGACTTGATCTGGTGGTTGTGATGGAAGTTCGTTGAATCTTTGAAGAACAAAAGAAAGGAACTTCTATTTGAAAATTTGTTTAAGAAAATTATTTAGGAATTGCAAATCAGTTTTGACATCGTGATCCTTTGCACTAGTGATTTCTGATAAGCCGTTTCTGTTTCCTAGGTGAGTTTAAGCGCACAAGCAGCTGGTCGTTTGATGAAAAGCTTCTTATACAGTCCCTGTACAGGGCAATTAGTGGCGTTTTTTCTGCTACATTAAGATTTTTGACAGTCGAGCTTATTATACAAACAAAATTTCTTCTTTCAAACATTTCTCCATCGCGGATACTGATTGGTGAGATGAATTTTTATTTGCTTTCAGGTTTTGGTTTTCGTCTCAAGTACTAGTCCCATTGTGCTGTATCTCAGGGACGTTGACAAGCTCTTATCTAGATCTCAAAGGATATATAACTTGTTCCAGAAAATGTTGAAGAAATTATCTGGAGCCGTGTTGATCCTTGGTTCACGAATTGTGGATCTCAGTGGTGACAACAGAGAGGCGGAGGAGAGGCTTACTGCTCTTTTACCTTACAACATTGAGATCCAGCCCCCTGAAAATGAATCCCATCTTGTCAGCTGGAAGACTCAACTGGAGGAGGATATGAGAATGATTCAGGTTCAGGATAACAAAAACCACATCATGGAAGTACTTTCGGCTAATGATCTTGATTGTGATGATCTTGGTTCGATCTGCATCGCAGACACAATTGATCTCAGTAACTACATAGAAGAAATTGTTGTATCAGCAGTTTCTTATCATTTGATGAATAACAAGGATCCTGAATACAGAAATGGGAAACTCATAATTTCTTCCAATAGGTATGGCTTTTTTTAATTTATACCTATAATGATTTTTTCACTATGTACATTCTGTGTACTCACCGCTTTCTCTGTAAATCAGTTTGTCCCATGGATTAAGCATATTCCAAGAGGGAAAATACAGTGGGAAAGATACAATGAAGCTGGAAGCGAAGGCTGAAGTGCCTAAGGTATGTTGGATGAGCATTGTAATTGTATTATTTTATAACTCGTGGATAACATATGGAGTACTAGATTAATCATTCTCTTGTTCATCCATTAATTATAGGAAGGAGGAACTGAAGTGTCTGTCGGTGTGACGACAGAAACAAAAACCAAAAGCACTGCTACTGCTGCAGAGACAACAGCTGCAGCAGCAAAAACGGATGCTGACAATTCAATTCCAGTATCAAGAGCTTCTGTAAGTCACCAATTTTCTTGTAGTTTCTGTTTTTTATGTATTGTGCTTGATAGCTAAGTTACTAACAGAAAACATGAAAGTCCATGCCATGGGCTTTTGAGTGTTTCTACTCATAGATTGTATGTTGTTTATACAGCCGACATGCTTCCTGCAGTGTACTATATATGCGGTTGTCTCTTCCCCGTACTGATATTGAGAAATCACCATGTCTACTTAACAGGCAGAAGTCGATGATGAATTTGAGAAGCGCATAAGACCAGAGGTCATACCAGCAAATGAGATTGGCATAACATTTGCTGATATTGGTGCCATGGATGAGATAAAAGAATCCCTTCAGGAATTGGTAATGCTCCCACTGCGTAGACCAGACCTTTTCAGCGGAGGCCTACTAAAGCCTTGTAGAGGTATTCTGCTATTTGGTCCCCCCGGAAGTGGGAAGACCATGCTGGCGAAAGCCATTGCAAGGGAGGCCGGAGCAAGCTTCATTAACGTATCCATGTCTACCATTACCTCCAAGTGGTTTGGCGAAGATGAGAAAAATGTCCGTGCTTTGTTCACTCTCGCAGCCAAAGTCTCTCCAACCATTATATTTGTAGACGAGGTTGATAGCATGCTTGGACAGCGAACAAGAGTTGGAGAGCATGAAGCCATGAGAAAAATAAAAAATGAGTTTATGACTCATTGGGATGGGCTCCTGAGTAGTCAAGGAGATCGAATCCTTGTTCTTGCTGCAACCAACAGACCATTTGACCTTGATGAAGCAATCATCAGGCGTTCTGAACGAAGGTACCAATGCATCTTTTATAACTTTTAATGCTGTCGTATATTCTGTTAATTAATCTTATCATTATGGAGTTCAGGATAACAAACTGACATTGTCAAGACAAATTTGATAAAACAAGTTTGCAGTGAATGTTAGCGAGATATAGCGGTGCCATCAATGGAAGTAGCAACATGAAAATTGTTCACATGATTATTTTTTTTTTTTTCCTTATGATAACACTGAGTGTTAAAACAGAATTTTGGTGGGGCTACCGACTGTGGAGAACAGAGAAATGATTTTGAGAACTTTGTTGTCGAAAGAGAAGGTGGAAGCACGACTAGACTTCAAGGAGCTTGCAACTATGACTGAAGGGTTTAGTGGAAGTGATCTTAAGGTCAGCATGTTTGATTACATGTTCTGTAGTTTAAGAAGTTCTGTGTATACATAGGTCTGACTGACTGATATTACTTTGAGCAGAACTTGTGTACAACAGCTGCCTATCGGCCAGTTAGGGAGTTAATAAAGGCGGAGAGCAAGAAGGATTTGGTAAGAAAGTTAATATCAAGACCGCTTTTTCTATGTTGGAGTGACTAAAATTCAATGATAGATTGTCATTGTGTACTTTTACGTTTTGGTTTTTAGGATAAAAAGAAGAGAGCTGCACAAGATGCTTCGGGAGAACGGAATCAAGAAGCTGTCCCAGAAACAGAAGAAGAATCTAAAGAGGAAAGACTCATCACCCTCAGGCCCCTGAACATGGAAGACTTCAAGCAGGCGACGAATCAGGTATGTTCACCAATTTAACTTCCATTCGAGTTGTTTACATGCACTATCCATGAACTTAAATTTTTTCACCGACCTACTGCCGCATCAGGGGTTGCCATTCAGATTTTTTTTTTTTTTTTTTTTTTTTTTTTTTCCATCTATTCAAACATCGGCTTTATTTGTTGTTCTTGGGAATGCAGGTTGCAGCTAGCTTTGCATCTGAGGGAGCCATGATGAACGAATTGAAGCAGTGGAACGATCTCTATGGGGAAGGGGGATCGCGAAAGAAAGAGCAGCTAACTTACTTTCTATGAGATTGGCGGTGAAAACTAGTACATTTTCCACGGTTAGTTTTGAGTATCAATGATCACCCTTCTTGTTCCTTCAGTTCGTCCTGGCACAGATAAGTCAGTGACCAACATTAACAAACAGAATTTGACCGAAGCATTTCCCGTGAGGCTGTATTAGGATGTGGAAGAGACTAAATCTTGTATTAATCGTATTATTCGCCTGTGGTTTGAAATAAGAAAGAGCCAGGAAGTTCCTGGGATTGATATATGGAAGAATATGTGAAGAATAATACGGCTGAATGCTTTCGGTATATTGAACAGAGGCTATGTAGCCCATATATATACAAAATACAAGTGGTAAAGTCAAACCATTATTCTTAACCTATAATACCGTGATCCGCACAATATATGGAATAGCCTTTCCTAGTTTAGACAAATCATACATTAATTACAATATATTCTTAATACTCCCCCTCAAGTTGGAGAGTGAAGATTACGAACGCCCAACTTGTCTCGCAGCTTCACAAATTGATCCTTCCCTAAAGCCTTCGTGAATATATCAGCTAATTGAAAAAGCGTAGGCACATACGTAGGACGAACTATACCAGCTTGTAATTTCTCTCGAACTATATGACAATCTATCCCAATATGCTTGGTACGTTCGTGAAAAACAGGATTTGCTGCGATGTACAAGGCTGCCTGATTATCACAAAACAATGAAGCGGGAGTTTTCTGAGGAACTCGTAAATCTTGTAATATGTAACGCAGCCAAGTTATTTCCAGGCAAGTGTTTGCCATAGCACGGTATTCTGCCTCAGCTGATGATCTGGACACATTATCTTGCTTCTTGGACTTCCACGAAATGAGTGAATTGCCAAGAAAAACGCAATATCCCGTAACTGATCTTCTCGTAGTACGACATCGTCCCCAGTCAGAATCACAAAAAGCTTTCAAGTCTAGATTATTGTTGGCAGAAAATAGTAAACCTTGACCAGGAGTCCCTTTGATATATTTAAGGATTCGCATAGTTGCATCCCAATGCGGTTTCCGTGGCTCGTGCATAAATTGGCTCAAAGTACGAACATGATAAACGATGTCCGATCTAGTAACAGTGAGATATATCAATCTCCCAACTAACCTTCTGTATTTAGTTGGGTCATTCAACAATGCTCCATCTGTGGATGTAAGTGCCAAGTTTTGTTCCATCGGAAAAAAATTTGGTCGTGCACCAAGTAACCCTGAGTCTTGTAAAATATCAAGTGCATATTTTCTTTGTGACATAAAAATGCCCTTTTCTGAGCGTGCAAACTCAATACCCAGAAAATACTTTAGATCACCAAGGTCTTTGATGCGGAAGCGTTTGAGAAGAAATGCTTTAAGTTGTTCCATCTCTTGGATATTATTTCCTGTGATAAGTATATCATCCACATAAATAAGAATGACAGTGATTGAAGTACCTTGGACCTTGGTGAACAAAGAATAATCCGCTTTCGATTGACAATATCCGGCGTTCTGAATAGCATCCGAGAAGGTGGTGAACCAAGTTCTGGATGCCTGTTTGAGTCCGTAAAGAGACTTGTTGAGCCGGCGTACAAGAGTCTCCCCCTGTCGGCGAAGACCCGGAGGGGGATCCATGTAGACTTCTTCATGGAGAGTGCCATGAAGAAAAGCATTGTGAACGTCTAACTAGTGAATGAACCAAGTGCGGGCAGCAGCAACGGTAAGGAGACAACGCAGAGTTGTGAGTTTGGCAGTAGGTGAAAATGTTTCCTGGTAATTAACTCCCTCAACCTGTGTGTATCCTTTTGCAACAACACGAGCCTTGTAACGATCAAGAGAACCGTCAGACTTGTATTTCTTTTTGAAAACCCATTTTGAGCCGATAGGCTTATGACCAGCAGGAAGAGGAACCAAGTCCCAAGTGTGATTATGATGTAATGCATCTAATTCTGTTTGCATAGCTTGTTGCCAGTGTGGATCAAAGATAGCTTCAGCATAGGTGGTGGGCTCAGATGGACCGGTAATGTTAGCTAAAAAAGAACAATGGGCAGAAGAGAACCGAGAGTTGGAAATAAAATCAGAGATGGGATAACGGGTACCTTGCGCAGAATGTGGTGCCAGAGAAGAGTGATTGACCTGGTTGGACATGTGGTAATCTTTAGTCCATGCTGGTGGCTGTGTGGGACGAGTGGACTGTTGGAGAGAAGGAAGAGTGGGTGGGGAAGAGATGGGAAGTTCAGGGTCAGTGTGAGAGCCAGTGAGACGGTGAGGAGAAGGTGCGGGGGGTTCAAGAGGGGTGGGGACATGTAGTAATGGAGGAGATGTAGGCACGGGTTGGGGAATGATGTCTGGGAGAGGGGAAATATGTGGGATATGTGGAGTAGGAGTGTCGGCTGGTGAGGGGACAAGAGTGGGGTCAACACCATGTGGAGGTGAGGGGGTGTGATCGGTGATGGTGTCAGATTCATGAAGAGGTGGGGTTAAATGAGAAATGGGGGAAAGAGAAGGGGGTCCGTATGTAGGGGGTTAGTGGTAGGAACATGAGAATCAGGAGAGGAAATATTAGAAAAGGGAAATGAAGTTTCATGAAATTTGACATCGCGACTAATAAAAAATTGTTGAGTTTCCAAGTTGTAAAGTTTATATCCTTTGTGGCATGTGGGATAGCCAACGAAAACATAACGGTGAGCTCTAGGTTCAAATTTGTGGGTAGGATTGACAACAGTAGCATAACTGAGACATCCAAAAACTCTAAGATGTTCAAGGGATGGGGGACGGTTGTATAATAGTTCAAAGGGTGATTTGTTGGAGAGGAGGGGTGAAGGTAAACGGTTGATGAGATAGACGGCAGTGAGGACACAATTGCCCCAAAAGATGAGGGGGATGTTGGATTGAAGGCGTAAAGCATGGGCCACTGTAAGAATATGGCGATGTTTGCGTTCAACAACCCTATTCTGTTGGGGGGTGTAAACACAAGTGCGTTGAAGTTCAATGCCGTTTGATTGAAAATAATCTCGCATTGAGAGGAATTCAGACCTATTGTCGACTCGAATGGTTTGAACTGTAGCATGGAATTGAGTGTGAGCAAAAGTGATAAAAGACTTTAAGAGATTTTGTGTCTCAGATTTGTTAGACATTAAAAATACCCAAGTACATCGGCTAAAATCATCCACAATTGTAAGGAAGAAATGAGCCCCAGAGTGAGTGGGAATTTTGTAAGGACTCCATATGTCATAATGTAATAAAACAAATGGGGCATGAGTTGATATGGAACTTAAAGGAAATGGAAGTCTAGTCTGTTTGGCTAAAGGACAAACACTACAATTATTGTCAAGGGGAATAGCATTAGAAAGTAATAAAGAAGAAGCTAATTTAAGACGAGAAGGGGATGGATGTCCGAGTCGTTGGTGCCATAAATTGGAAGGATGAGAGACGTGATGAGAGATAGGTGTCCGATGGATAGGCGACATGTAGTAAAGACCACCACGCATCTTACCCGAACCAATCATCTTCCCTGAAGCCAAGTCCTGCAAAACACAAAAGGTGGGAAACAAAAGAGCACAACAATTGAGAGAGTCAGTGACTTTGCTAGCGGACATGAGATTGAGATTAAAAGACGGAACACACAAGACATCGGTTAAAGTTATATCAGAATTAAATGGTATTGTACCAGTGCAGGTGATTGGGATTGAAGAACCAGTGGGCAAATTAACAACGGGTACAGATGGAGGTTTGGTGTTAGAAAATAAAGTGGAATCAGAAACAATATGATCAATAGCTCCACTATCCAAGATCCATGGCTTAGTAAACACAGAATTAATGGAAGTAACAGAAAAAGAATTCGGACCTGCGGCGTTTGCATAAGTGTTCCCATTACCAGAAGAAAGCAAAGAGAGAGCATGAGTTAACTGTTGAATTTGATCCGCAGAGAGTGCACTCAACGGATTGGAAGATGCAGGAGGATGTGTGGGCTGCGGCATGGATGGCCTTTGAGGGCTTGAAGTTGCTTCCGCTGCATGGGCAGCAGGACGGAAAGAAGAGCCTCCTTGAGGTCGTTGCTTACGACCAGTTTTGTTGCCATGGCCTCCATTGGGATTGGGCACCCATGTTCCATTCTTAATTTTGCACCTGTCCTCTGTATGTCCTCTTTTGTCACAAAAATTGCAATGATATTTTAGAGTGCGGCAATTGTCGATGGTGTGTCTTTCGCGGTTGCAATGATCGCAGCGCTGATCAGAGCGAGTTTGTGTCGCGGCAGCAAGAGAAAAATTGTCGGATGGCAATTGGTTGCGTTGTTCTGAAGACAACTGGCGTTGTTGTTCATGATTGCTGACGAATGAATAAGCTTGATGAATATTGGCAATGGTGTCATCATGAGAATGGTAGTGCGAACAGTGTCATGAACATCGTTGAGGCCCATAAGAAATTGCATAAGTCGGTATTTTTCTCGCTGCTCATGATGCTTATCCATCAGGTTGCAGATGATGGGGTCTTCATATGCATCGAGTTGCGTCCAGAGATGCTTGAGTTCTGTAAAGTACGTTGAGACCGTCATGGAGCCTTGAGATAAAGAAGCAATCTGTTTATGGATTTGGTAAATTGTTGGTGTGTTTTGCTGTGAGAATTGATGCTTGAAATCCTCCCAAATCTTGTACGCAAATTGGGCATGGACAACGCCTTTAGAGAGATGAGACTCTACTGAATTTGAAATCCATGATAGTATCATGCTGTTGCATTGTGCCCATAAGGCGTAGTCACCTGGTTTGTCGTCTTCTGAGGGGGGTTTGATGGATCCATCAATGAACCTAATTTTATTTTTGGCTCGTAGGGCATGAAGCATAGACTTGCTCCAGGAAGAATAATTAGTCCCATTCAGTTTTTCAGAAACAAGCACATGGCCAGGGTGATCGAAGGATGAACATAGTATGGATTTGATAATTCCATACTCGGATTGCTGGAATTGTTTTTGTTGGGATTGGATGTTTGGTTGTCTGTCATGGTGTTTGTATTTTGCTAGGGTTTGATGAAGTGGATCGAAGAGCCTGTGTTGATACCAAAATAAGAAAGAGCCAGGAAGTTCCTGGGATTGATATATGGAAGAATATGTGAAAAATAATATGGCTGAATGCTTTCGGTATATTGAACAGAGGCTATGTAGCCTATATATATACAAAATACAAGTGGTAAAGTCAAACCATTATTCTTAACCTATAATACTGTGATCCACACAATATATGGAATAGCCTTTCCTAGTTTAGACAAATCATACATTAATTACAATATATTCTTAATAGTTTGTGAACGAATGCTCGGATATAAACTGTGTTTTGTCTTGCTGCCGAATTCTGGGAATAAGGCGTGACAACGAGTGTTGTGAACTACTGTTTTCATATGTAATACTAACAGGCGGAACGCCGCTGAGTGTTTAGATGTATATAACCATATACAGCTTAATTTCTCTTCATTTGTTTCTTTGTTGCTAAATTCCTGACGAGAAATTCTGGACATTCTGATTTTACTGATTTGTTTTAGACGTACATGATTGTGTGGCTTAGGCATTCCCTCTCCCATTGAACTTGAGTAATTTTTCTTAGCTTTCCGCGAATGAGTTAACAAACATGAGTAGTGGTATGGCGATCATATTTTTAGGTCACAGTGAACTAATCGTACCGCATAGTGTGAAAAATATAAGGGAACACGAAGGGCTCTCTTGAGTTTAGAATTGTAATAAGAGCGGAATCCGGAGAGCTAGCGTTTTGAAATGATTCCTTGAGATAATGGAGACTTGGATTTTAGGGAGGCAAGACCTACTTTTGTTGTCCGAAACAATGTCAAGAGTATCTTTAACAACCTCGAACAATGTTAGTATGTATGGAGCTACGTAAACTTGTGTACGTCTTGTTGACCAAACCATTAGGTATACCACGCCAGTAAATTCGCCTGTACTACTACTACTGCAGCATTGCTATGAGGAATCGAGAGAGGGCACATATGTTGGTGTTTAAATATCCTTGCAGATTTCTTAGAATTGAATAAAGGGAGTTTTAACAAAACACTCCCGGTACTGTTCACTTTTAACGAAAAACCATATTTTTACCTTTCCCTGGTACTATTCACTACACCTTTATTTGTCATTTTCCATTAAAACTAAAGGTTTTTTGGACTTTTCGTTAGTTTTCCTTAGAAGAAATCAATTCAGTTTTTAAATTTTCCTTGATGGGTGTAATGTGAGTCATTGGATTACAATCATCACCTAGTTTTGCTTCTTTGTGAGTCATAGCTCAACACATGCTTTATCACCTCATAGGGTAGATTACTTGAATGGTTAGGATTGGTTTGATGTTGTAAGTGAGAGTAAGGATCTCCCTTCCTCTTTCTAACAGTCATATTCACACACAATGCGTGTGAGGTATCAATCAATGAATCCTCATCTTCGCCGCTACCTTTGAACATTCTATCTGCATGGGTCCCAGAACTCCAAAACTTCAATCCTTTATTTTAATTCACAAAAATTAACCTAAAATACTAACATGGCCTCAGAGGCCATGTTGATCACCTACACTAGGCGTGAATCCATGTACTCTTCAATGGAGAACTCGATTTGGTTTAAAGTTCATCAGAGCAAATTTGAGCTT